CCTAGTCACCTGTACGGAAGTTCTCTAGGATACCTCCCTAGTAACAGAACAGCTGGTGAGAGGATAGTTACCCTCAGTTCTAATGCAAAACACTTTCCTATTGCATCATGCCCTCAACTATATTATTATTATCATCATCATCAAATGCTGATGGACTCAGTGTCGCCTCCGAGTCCCACAGTGAATTCTGACCTGTACTGAAACAGTACAGGGGGTGGGGGAGGGGATTAGGTCATACATGAGTGCAGTCCTCAGGAATGGGACTGGAGCTTTGGTCAGAGTCCCCAGAGAGTTCTTTACGCCTTTCTGCCACATCGGGATAGAGCGGTAAGGGAGCCCTCACAAACACTGAACCTGCAGCGCTTTGACTGTGGATGCGCCAGCCTCCAGAACCATGAAAAACACACGGGTGCCGGTCAAGCCACCCCTCCATGGTATTTTTGTTGTGCTAGTCTGAATGGCCGAGGACACAGATTTTTAAACATCACTAATATGGTGAGTGTCCTGTGGGATGAGTTGTGTCCCCCTAAAATTCAGAGGTTGAAGTGCTAATCTACAATATCTAACAATGTGACTGTACTGGAGGTGTGGTCCTTAAAGAGGTAGTGGAGATTAAACGAAGTCACCCGGGCAGGCTCTAATCCCATAGGACTGATGTCCTTATGGAAGCCCTGTGAAGACGAGGGGAGGACAGAGCATCTACACATCAAGGACACAGGCTTTCAGAAGAAAACAGCCCTGCCCACCCCGTGATCTTGAATTCCCAGCCTATAGTACTGTGTGCAAGTTAATCTCTGCTGTTCATGTCACCCAGTGTGTGATATTTGTTATGGCAGCCCTAGAAAACTGATACAGTACATAAAAATGGTGAGTCACCTGAGTTTAATTTTTTTAAGCTTAAAAGGAAGATTAATATTAGAGTCAGAGACCTCCAGCCACAGTGGCCTGGAGGGAGGTGCCAAAAGAGGCAAACCCTAAAAGGGCTGGTGGTAGTGTGCTTTTTCCTAGTTTAATTCACATTACTTTTTGTTTTTAAAAGATTGATTTATTTATATTTGAAAGTCAGAGTTACATAGAGAGGGAAGGAGAGGCAGAGAGAGAGAGGTCTTCCATTCACTGGTTCACCCCCCAAATTGGCCGCAATGGCTGGAGCTGTGCCAATTCAAATCCAGGAGCCAGGAGCTTCCTCCTGGTCTTCCCGTGTGGGTGCAGGGGCCCAAGGACTTGGGCCATCCTCCACTGCTTTCCCAGGCCATGGCAGAGTGCTGGATTGGAAATGGAACAACCGGGTCTTGAACCGGCACCCATATGGGATGCTGGCACTACAGGCAGCAGCTTTACCCACTACACCACAGTGCAGGTCTCCACATTTCTTATTTACAACTAAAATTCAGAAAATCTGCAAATAAAGCCATTGAGATATCGTCTATACAAATTGTTTAAAAGTCATTTCTTTTTGAATTTCCATTGTGTTGTTTCCTTTTCTGATATACATATTGGATGTTGCTATGTGGCCTATTCATTTATTTAAGGGGTGGAGAGAGGGAGAGGGAGAACAAAAGTTCCAACTGCTAGTTTACTCCCCAAATGCCCAGGAACCAGGTCTCCCACATAAGTGGCAGGCACCACTGGAGCCATTCCCTTTTCCCTCCAGGGTGCACAGTAGCAGGAACCTGGAAAGGGGAGCAGAGCCAGGACTGCAAGCCAAGCATTCTGATATGTGTTGTGGGTGTTTCATCTGGGGACAGCCAGGCCAAATGCTCACCCTGCTTATCTACTTTTAGTAATAGTGATAGTTGGGGCCGGCACTGTGGCTCACTTAGTTAATCCTCTGCCTGCAGCGCCAGCATCCCATATGGGTGCCAGGTTCTAGTCCCGGCTGCTCCTCTTCCAGTCCAGCTCTCTGCTGTGGCCCAGGAGGGCAGCGGAGGATGACCCAAGTGCTTGGGCACCTGCATCAGCATGGGAGACCAGGAAGAAGTGCCTGGCTCCTGGCTTTGGATTGGCGCAGCGCCGGCCATGGCGGCCATTTGGGGAGTGACCTTTCTCTCTGTCTCTCTCTCTCACTGACTGTAACTCTACCTGTCAAATAAAAAAAAAGTAATAGTGATAGTTAAGGCAATAGTAGTCTTTTGTTGCTATTCTTATTATTATATCAAGATATAATTCTAAGACACAGATGGAGACTTACAAAGGAACTAAAAGAAGACAGACAACTAACCTGAACAGGCAGCTGTTCTAGAAGGGGCCCTTTACTGAAGATGTCTCCTCCCTCATCAACCCTGCAAGGTTATAATTATCTAACTTTGAAAGGTAAATTCTGGCTGAAAGTTTAAGTTACTTGGCCTGTAACTTCAGAACTAGCATCTGGGCCGGCACCGTGGCTCAATAGGCAAATCCTCTGCCTAGTGGCGCCGGCACACCGGGTTCTAGTCCCGGTCGGGGCGCCGGATTCTGTCCCGGTTGCCCCTCTTCCAGGCCAGCTCTCTGCTGTGGCCCGGGAGTGCAGTGGAGGATGGCCCAGGTGTTTGGGCCCTGCACCCCATGGGAGACCAGGAGAAGCACCTGGCTCCTGCCTTCGAATCAGCACGGTGCGCCGGCTGCAGCGCGCCAGCCGCGGCGGCCATTGGAGGGTGAACCAGCGGCAAAGGAAGACCTTTCTCTCTGTCTCTCTCTCTCACTATCCACTCTGCCTGTCAAAAATAAAATAAAATAAAAGAACTAGCATCTGAACACTATTATCAAATCCAAAAGCCTGAAGTCTAATTGTTAAGTCCGCCTTTCAGAAGCTACCTGCCACTCAAACCAACCTCGGATCCACTCGCAAAGCCCACCCTGCTCACATTACTAGTTTTGATGAGTCACTGTAGAGCTTCCTCCGAACTGCTTGCTGACTTTACACAACGGTTACTCCACGGGAGTCCAGAGCTGGAGGAACTACACTAGGCTGCATCTCAGGCAGCCAGGGCTCCAGCTCTGACCCTACCACTTACTCTCTGGCCTCTGGGCAAGTCATTCAATCTTCCTGGACCTTGGTTTTCCCTTTAAACCTATAGCAGAGAACCTTTCCTGGCCTCTGGTTGCGGGGGGGGGGGGGGGGGGGGGGTGCAGATTGCCCACAATCCTTGGCCTCCCTTGCCTTGGAGCTACAGTGCTTTGCTCTCCTCTCTGGCATCTGCAGCTGTGTGTCTCTCTCCTCTTCTTTATTTATTTGAGAGGTAGGGTTACAGATAGACAGAGGGAGAGCAGAGAAAGGTGTTCCACCTGCTGGTTCACTCCCCAAATGGCCTCAATGGCCACAGCTGGGCCAATCCGAAGCCAGGAGCCAGGAGCTTCCTCTGGATCTGACATGTGGGTCCAGGGGCCCATGCAGTGGGCCATCTTCTGCCTGCTTTCCCAGGCCATGCGGAGAGCTGGGTCAGAAGAAGAGCAGCCGGGAGTCAAACCAGTGCCCACGTGGGATGCCGGGTGCTGCAGGTGGAGGCCTAGCTTACTACATCATCAACGCCCACCCCTCTCTCCTCTTCGTATAAGTATATAGGTCATATTAGATTACAGGCCCACTCTACTCCAGTCTGATCTCATCTTAATGAATTGCTCCTGGAAAGACTGTTTGCAAATAAGGTCACCTACCGAGGCACCATGGATTGAGAGCTCAGTGTATCTTTGCTGGGGGTTGGGGAAGCAGACACAACTTATCCCACAATAATGGCTTAGTTCTGTCTTCTCTGATCCATCCTTCTCAGCCATGGTTTGCCAACCCAATTTAATATAGGTGAAACATTAAAACTTAAGCCAATTGGCCGGCGCCACAGCTCAATAGGCTAATCCTCTGCCTGCGGCGCCGGTACCCTGGGTTCTAGTCCTGGCTGGGGCATCGGATTCTGTCCCGGTTGCTCCTCTTCCAGTCTAGCTCTCTGCTGTGGCCTGGGAGTGCAGTGGAGGATGGCCCAGGTTCTTGGGCCCTGCACCCCATGGGAGACCAGGAGGAAGCACCTGGCTTCTGGCTTCGGATCAGCGCAGCGCGCCGGCCGCAAAGCGCCGGCCGTAGCAGTCACTTAGGGGGTGAACCAACAGAAAAAGGAAGACCTTTCTCTGTCTCTCTCTCTCTCACTGTCTAACTCTGCCTGTCCAAAAAACAAACAAACAAAAAAACAAAACAAAACACTTAAGCCAAGAAGAAAAGACAGGAATCCTCACTGAATTTGAATCATTTCTCCCCAGGACAGAAACCAGAGGTTCCTTCTGTATCTCAGCTCCCAAGAGGAAGAATAGTACAACAATATTACAATTTACTCTCCTGGAGCCAGCCCAGCGAGGTCTCACCGGCTTTACTGAGGCTGCTCCAGACCGGCTGACACGCAACAGTCACTGCTTAATGGGTGGAATCCCCTCCTTGTAAGTAAGGAAACTACTGATTAAGGACAGGCATTTCAAGGGAGGAAATAAGTTGTAAAAATACTTTTCATGGTAGATTCTAGAATGATCCTACTGTGCTGCTGCTGAGTCTGGAGAGGTCCTGAGAGGCACAGTAACCGATTCAGGGTTTAACAGTGGTAAAAGTCAGGAGCTGGAAATAAGGTTACATGTGTCTGTCACTGTGGTAGCAGCCAAGAAGTCCACAGGGGCTGCAAAGAGGTGGCAGTGGTGTCACTGTGTAGAAATACAGAAACAGCATGGGACAGCAGGCTGGAAAGGCACTTGCTCCCAGCGCAATTTGGGGACTTTTTTTTTTTTTTTTTTGACAGGCAGAGTGGACAGTGAGAGAGAGAGACAGAGAGAAAGGTCTTCCTTTGCCGTTGGTTCACCCTCCAATGGCCACCGCGGCCGGCGCCCCGGTGTGCGGGCGCCGCAAGGCGGAGGATTAGCCTATTGAGCCGTGGCGTGGGCCTTGGGGACTTCTTATGGGAGAAGAGGGGTGAGGTAAGGAAGCCCCCCATTGTAACCTCACTACTTAGTGATAGGTCACAAGAGATCCTGTAACCCCGGTAACCAGATAGGAACATTCTAGAGAGAGGTCCCTGCCCAGCTCATTTGGCCAGACACTTGACAGAACAAGATGTTCTCTTGCTGCGTCCTCACTTCCCAAGGCCATGGGCCGAGGAAACCATGGGGTGAGGGTTTTCAGCAACGAATCCGACGCTGGTTCTCACGTCACTCCCAATACCTCTGGCCATTTGGCAGGAAGCACTCACAGGTAACCCAGCACCACCCAGGGCTGTCTAGGCCAGGTTTTCATGGTGAAAGCACCTGGGCTGCCCCAAAACCCCTTTAGTGGGGTGGCGGGGATGGGGGGAATAGGCAGGTGAGAGGAGGGCCTATTATGGGCAGAAGGTGGTTGGGCCGGGAGGCTGTAACCTGGTGGTCCTGGCATGTTCACACCTCAGCACATGGCTGGCAGGGTGGAAGGGAATCATCTGGGGCATCCACACCTGCTCAGCTGTTATTCCACCTCCCGCATGCTGTCATGCCCCTTCCTCCAGGTGGTTTTCTGTGATGTAAGGGTCCCTGTGGCCAGGGGAGGAGAAGTCACGAGGGGCAGAAACAGAAGGAAAGGGAGCAGGCAGGGCCCTGATGCTTGCTGAGTACCCGCGGGGCATTGTCTTTCCAGAGCTGCAGTTACCGCAAAGGCCAGGTGCTGCTCAACAAGGTCCTGTATTCCATCTCCTTCATGGAGAGACAGGCGGCCAACAGAGGCTGCTGCTGGCTGATGGTGAGTATGGGGGGCCGGAGGGGTGCCACAGCCCGGGCCCAGACGCCACTCCACGTGCTTGCTTGCTTGCTTCTCAGGGCCTTGCAGATGGGGATGGGGTGGGCAGAGTACTGCTCCCAGAAGAATCTGGTGCCACCTCCTCCCTCAATGCCACCCCCTCAGCCCAGGCCCTGCCATGGCCACGTGCAGCATCCTTGCCCAGATGTTTCTGTGTAGTTCGGAAACCTCATTTTCTTCCATTTCACTTCACTTTGCTGCAATGGTTGTGCCTTTTGTTATTTTTCCATGTTTTCACCCATGTGTCCTGATGTCTCCATGGCTGGGGACCTGACCATCCTTCCTCCCCCCTGTCAAGTCTCACCCGTCCTCATGAGCATGAGGCTGTTTGTCTAAAAAGGACAGGGGGCTCCTTTTATCAAGTTCCTACCTCTGTATCTTTCTGTGCCCATGAGCACCTTCGTAGGGCCCCTCCACATCAGGACCTGGGGTCTCACTGGGCAGGACGGTGTTCCAGAAGGAGGGCAATTACCATAGCAACACAGCCTTTCCTTACTGGAGCCTGCAGCCAAAGTCCTGTGTGTCCCAATACACTGATCCCCCTACCCCAAGATAAACCTGCTGGCTCGTGTCCGAATTGGACTGTTTGCTCAGGACTCAGTGAATTAAGTCTCTTCAAACAGGGACGAACTTCATGAGTTAGTTGGCTGACCCGCAGATACTGATACTTATAAATTTTCCCTTTGAACACTGAGAACCACTTTGCTGCCTGCAACTCAGGACAAGAGTCACTGATGGCACTGGCATTGGTCTGAGCTCTAGCTCCTACCCTCCTGGTAGCTGCTGGTGCTGTACTGACTGTGTGTCCCCTCCTCTCTCCTACCCTAGGTTAAAATATGGTCTAATCTGATTGTGTATGACGCCCACGTTGGGTGGAGGATCCAGGGGCGCACATTGCTGAAGCTCATAGACAGCCTGGTGCCTGCCTTCCTGGGCTGGGAGCCCGCATATGTTCCCAATTTCCTGAGAACCTACAGAGCCTTTGCCACCACCCAGCAGGTGCTGGACACGCTGTTTGCAAGGTGAGACTCCCACATCTCCAGGCAACTGTCACTTGGCCACCCCTAGCTGTGAGTTTTGGCAAGGTCACCCCACCTTGTTTAAGCCTCAGTTGGAGCCCCTGAACACTGGAGTGTTAAGACAAAACTCACAGGGTTATACAGTGGCAGAGTGGGATCCTCCATGGAGAGTGCTTACCTGGTGCTGGGCCCATGGGAAGGTCTCCTGTAGGGGCTACTCTTCTCATTATTTCCCCCTCCCTGAAGAGGAACTTCTGCTTTTCCCCTTTATGATTCTCTGAAATGGAGCTGAACAGGTTGGGTCATTTTTTTTTTTAATTTATCCATTTTCAAGAGGAACAGGGAGTAGGACTTCTTACAACTGCTGGTTCACTACTCAATTTCCCTGGAGAGACTGTAGCCAGAACCTAGAACTCAATATAGACCTCCCACATGGGTGGAAAGGGACCCCAGTGCTGAGCCATCCCCTGTCCCCAAGGGTGCGCATTCATAGTGCACTGGATTGAAACAGGAATGATTGAAACTGGACTCCAACCCAGCGAGCTGGATATGGGATGTGGGCATTTCAAGTGGTGACGTAACCACTGCACTGAATGCCTGTTTCCTTATTTCTAGAGGAGGATCCAGATTCCATCCATGTGTTTTTTGGTTGATCCAGACCAGGAATATGTGGGGCGGGCAGGGAGACCTCAGACCCACTCAGTTGCCTTGGAAAAAGCTGGTTGGAGTTTACTCCTTCCAAGTCACATGATTTGCAGGACCTTTCTAGGCAGTGACCTTGATCCAAAGCACAGAGCAGGCCCCAGTCCCTGCTGGGCTTGGCGGGACTCGGACAGGCTCACTAGACAGGAGGTGCCCACCGTGGGGCAGATGTGACACCCTCCTGGCCTTCTCTAGGTACCCCTGGTTCGCTCCTACTACTGATTGTGTACTCCAGGACACAGTGAAATAGTGAGTGGGTATGGGGCAGGTGGGGGGCACCCAGTTTTTTACAAAATTGGGCTGGGAGTGTGGTGGTCTGTGGGTTGGATGCAGCTGGAAGCAGCCTTGATTCTAAATATTCTGTGATGCTGCTTACAGAGCTGAGGTATGGGCGGTGCCCTGCAGGGATAAAGCAGCCAAAGAGCTGGGACTGGGGCCACAGGCACTGTGGGGAGTGGAGTGGCAGCGGGAGGACAAAATAAAGCCCTGAGGGAACCCAGCACCACCACCTCTCATCCAAACCTGCTTACACCATGAGTCCAGCCTGGGACCCAGAATGGGACTGGGGGCATCCTGCTCACTAATACGGCTGCAGTCCCACAGTGAGGCATGACGGGTGCTCAGAGGTTGCAGTGGGTGCCCAGGGGTCAGGCCCCCTCTGGAGATGAACGGCACTGGGAAGAACAGACCCATTCACTGTGCTGTCGGCACTCATATTGGAGGTTAGTTACACAGGTCCCAGAGCCTGGGAAAGAGGCGGGACTCCCTTTGCTTCCTCCTTTGTCACTTCCTTATGTAGCACCTGCTGGGTGCAGGGAACCAAGCAGACAGCATCCCTCTCTGCCCTTGTGGAGCTGGCATTCCAGGGAGGACAGGGCACTCAGACACATACTGTGCATCAGGCTTCCCTGAAAAGGGAAAGGGGGGTGAGACCTTGGTCAAGGGCTCCCTCTCATGCAGCCATTTGTCAGTCCCCCTTCAGTGACCAGGTCTCATTCCTGGCTGATTGAGAGTGCCGTGAGGTGGGTCAGAGCTATGGGCAGGCAGCGGCTGGAGGCACTGGAGCCCAGCCTGTGTCCTAGGAGAAAGGCATGAAAGGGCAAGGCCTCTCACTGGACTGCTCGCCTGCCTCCCTGCAGCGCTCTCTCCTCCATCCTGGCCACCTGGCTGGAGCAATACCCGGAAGATTTCAATCATCCCCCGCATTACACCAGTCTGTACATGCTGCTGGACTACACGCAGCTCAACCTGTGTGGCTTCGAGCTGGACCAACAGGTACAACTTCTCCTGAGACACTTGCAGCAACAGGAGCCTGCGGAGGCAGAACTAGAGGGTGAGGAGGACCGGGATTGGTGCATGTGAGTACAAGGAGGCGTGAAGGGTCTATGTCGCACTCAGGAAAGCTTTCAGAATCAGGGGTGGGTCCAGGAGCAACAAGGGACTCAGATGACCAAAAGACATGCGGGAGGTGGCATTTGGGTCAAAGCCTTGTCTGAGAGTCAGAGACAAGGTTTTGTCTGTGGACGGCACATGAAGAGTCAGGCATGCTGCTGATACTTTCTCCTCTTGTGATGCCAGAGCCACAAGAGCTTGTGCCACCTCCACCTCTATCGCCAGATGGAGCTCCACAGCCGGAACAGGCTCGCAGACCGCTTCCGGAAACCTCCAGGGAGCCCGCGCCAGCTTCCACTATGGCACTAGCTCCAGAGTGCTAGGAAGCGCCAACCGTTCCACCTGCAGAGCCAGCCGATCCAGATCCAGATCCAGAGTCACATGCAGCCTCAACCACAGTCTATTCTATTGGAAACTCAAGGGCAGGAAACGCCTGTTGCCACATCCCAAGAGCTTGATCTCTTTGTAGTTCCACAGCTGGCACCTGTCCCCCTCCTTACTAAGGAATTTGTTGTAATGTCATCTTTCTCCTTTACTTCCACATAAAAACTTACTATACTTCATCTTCTAAAATGCATAAATAAAATTTGATATTTTAACTTAAAAAAAAATACTTTGCCTGTACCATAATGAGGACACCTGTACAGCTACATGGAGAGGCTGTGGCAAGCACGTGGGCGAGCGGTACCAGAGGAAGATGGGCTTGCCTATAAGAAGGCTGCAAGGGGCAGCCTAAGGGCCTGTCCACTTCCCTGCCAACTTTTACTTAGACCCGAGACCTGGGTCTTCCTAAAGCCCAAATGGTGGGGAAAGAGCCATGGAGGATCACTACTAGTTGGCTTCTTCAAGTGAGAGCCCCAAGGGGGATGTTCCACTTTTAGCAACAACAGTGTTGCAAGTCTGTAACTATAATACTTCGCATTAAGTGTTATTTCACTTGTGCTGTCCCTGTAGGACATATCTCACACACACATACACACAAACTCTTGTCAGGCCATAAACTGTATCTTAGTGCCTGTCACAGGCTGGATTCCCTGAGAAGCAGACGCTGAGCTGCAGAAGGGCACGTAAGAAGGTGGTTGGAGGGTGCTCTAGGAAGATGCACCTATGAGGGAGTGAAAGGAAGAGAGCTGGGTGACCCAGGGCAAGAAGGGGAGCTGCAGTACAGTGCCAGCACTGGCCACGAACAGTGCTGAAACTTGGTTAGGCCCAAATTGTCATCCTCAGCTTGGGGAAGAAGGGTAGGTCCCCCACTAACTAGCCAGCCATTGGACATAAACTCCATTAGGGAAGGGGGGCTTGAACTTGAATAACTTGAATCCAAGCCCTCCCAGCAAGGTTGTGGGTGTCTCAACAAGTTTCTTAAGCACCAGGCCAAACACTCACTCCTCCTTTCTCCTTTGTTTTCTAGGTCATCTTAATAAACATAAGTTACATCTGTAAGAGGGAAAATACTATTTTTCCTCTAAAATAACAGGGTTTTTTTTTTTTTTACAAACTCATATTGATTTATTTGAAAGAGACAGACAGATCTTCCATTTGTTGGTTCACTCCTCAAATGCCTGTAACAGCTGAGGCTGGGCCAGGCTGAAGGCAGGAGACCAGAACTCAATCTAGGCCTCCTATGTAGGTGGCAGAGACCCGAGACCCTGGGCCATCACCCGCTGCCTCCCAAAGTGTCCATCAGCAGGAAGTTGGAATCAGGAGAGGAGCTGGGACACAGAACCAGGCATTCTGATATGGGATATGGGCCTCCCAAGGGTGTCCTAACCGGTGCACAAAACACCCACTGAGAAAAGCAGATACTTCTCATGAGGAGAAAGCTTGTAGCTACATTAATCAAACAGTCACAGAAATCAGAAATCAGACTTTAAATGGGCTTGTCTGTTAATAGTGGTCCCTTCACAGCCTACAAGATTTAGGAAAGGGCAACTCTGAGTAAAAGAAGAAGGTTTAGACTTAGGTTCTTCAAAACAGGGGCCACTGGCTACATGTGACCCTAAGCACTTGAGACTTGGCTAGTTCAAAGGAAGACGTGCTGTAACATACACACTAGATTTCAAAAACCAAGAAATGTCTGGGTGGGCACTGTGGTGCAGCAGGGTAAGCCACTGCTTGGGACATCAGCATCCTGTATCAAAGTGCCTAGGATCAAATCTAGCCCCCGCTTAGGATCCAGCTTCCTGGTAATGCATCCTGGGAAGCAGCAGATGATGGCCCGTGTGCTCAGGACTCCCACACTCTGGCCACAGTCTGGCCCAGCCCCGGCTGTTGTGGGCATTTGGGAAGTGAATCAGAGGATGAGAGATATGTCCCTCTCTTTCTCTCCTCTTTCTCTGTGTGTGTCATTCTCCCTTTCACATAAATGAAAATATTCAAAAATAAATTTAAAATTATAAAACATGTTCTCAATAATTTTAATATTATATCTTGAAATGACAATGTTTTTGACAGATTAGGTGAAATTAAATACAATAAAAGTAATTTCACTTGGGGGCCAGAGCTGTGGTGTAGTAGGTTAAGCTTTTGCCTGCTGCACCGGCATCCCATATGGACACCAATTCAAGTACCAGCTGCTCCGCTTCCAATACAGCTCCCTGCTAATGGCCTGGGAAAGCATCAGAGCATGGCCCAAGTACTTGGGCCCCTGCCACCCACATGGGAGACCTGGAAGAAGCTCCTGGCTCCTGGCTTTGGATCAGTCCAGCTCAGCCATTAGAGCCATCTGGGGAGTGAACCAATGGATGGAAGACTTCTCTCTCTGTCTCTCTGTTTCGCTGTAACTCTGCCTCTCAAATAAAGAAATCTTTTAAAAAAAATACAAAATAATTACACTTGGGTTTCTTTTTTTATTTGTTTTTGTACAGTGTTGATACTTGGCAGGAAGCATAAGTTTTCTGAAATCCCTCCTAAAAACAGAAACAACTTGGAAAAGCATTTGTAACACAGGACATCTGCCAATCTTACAGGTTTATTGGGAGCTTCCATGAAAAAACCGTTGAAAGTGCAGCTTGCTGCCAAATGAATTCTCAGCACTGCGAGGCAAAATGAAACCCATACTACCTATGTGGTGCACAGCCATCCGCGTAACTCAACTGTCAACTCCGGGCAAGTTAAGGAAACGCTTGTGCTGTGGAAAGCCATTAATATCTTCCTCTGAGAGAAGCCCTCCAGCTTGTCCTGGGAGCTGTATGGTAACTGTCCCCTGACACCTACACACTGGAAACTGATTTGAGGTAAACAAGGCACTTGACAGAAGGACGGTGAGCCAGAGCCAAGGAAGACAACCTAGGACCTGGGAAGGGGTCTATGAGGAATGACTTAATGACACACACTGTTTGGGATTTATTTGTTTCCAGAATTTTAACAGAAGTCACTGTCCAAAATTAAGACGCAATCACTGGTTACCCCAGTCTCAGATTTTTTTTAAAAAAAGATTCTTAATTTTATTTATTTGAAAGGCAGAGTTACAGAGACAGACAGAAAGGGAGAGAATCTTCCATTTGGCAGTTCATGGTTCACTCCCCAAATGGCCACAATGTCCAGGGCTGGACGAGGCCAGAGCCAGAAGCCAGGAACCCCATCCTGGTCTCCCAGGTGGGTGGCAGGCACCCAAGCACTTGGGTCACTTTCTGCCCTTTCTCGGGTGCATCAACAGGCAGCTGGATTGGAAGTGGAGCAGCTGGGAGTCTATAGGTACTCACACAGGATGTCAGCGTTGCAACAGCAGCTTACCCTGCTGTACCACCACGCCACTACCCCTCCCCACCAACCTGAATTGTTTATTGGGAGCAAGGCAAACTGACTTATAAGGCACATAAATCAATCTAAACCTGAGTAAACTCTTTCTCCTACAAACCTAGATTCTAATGTGAGACTGAACGGAAAGAAAGTTTTCTTATTTCTCAAAACAAATTTTTTGAAACTTCTGTCATTCTTTATTTGCTTCCCATCCTCCTTCTCTAGAACATTCTCAACCTCTCAACTTGTTATGTTTTTATTCATGAAGAGAATTAAAAAAAAAACAGATTTTATTTGAAAGAATGACAGAGATAGATGGAAAGAGAGCTCTTCCATGCACAGGTTCACTCCCCAGATGGCAAAGCCAGGAGCTTGGAACTCCATCCGGGTCTCCCACATGGGTGGCAGGGGCCCAAACAGTTGGTCCATCTTCTGCTGCTTTCCCGGGCACATGGACAGGGAGTTAGATTGGAAGCACAGTGGCCAAGAGTCAAACCAGCACTGCAATATGAGATGCTGGGGATGCAGGTGGGCACAACATTGGCCACCACGGAGAGACTCATGAAGAATGTAAGTGCTATACAAAATTTGTTGTGCAGTTAAAAGCCTTGAAGAAGATTTTAGAGTCATCCCTCACCTGGCATGGCTGGGCGAACACACAGTGGAGGGAGGACTCTGAAGTGGCAGAGTCCTCTTCAAGGACGTCAGACTGCGAACCTGGCTCCCCCACTGCCTCCAGCTCTGTGGCCTTAGGAAAGTCATTTAATCCCAGATTGTTCTCATGAAAACCTTATGCTATAGGAACTTGATCATTCCCATTTTAAAGATGAGGAAATACAATTAAAAACAATCCTTAAGAGTATACCCTGGATAGCATCCTTGCTATTAGAGAGGATTTAAAAAGTTCACAGAAAATGAGTATTATTTAAAAACTATGCATGGATTTCAAAAATATTTCACACCAAAATGAACTTATCTTTTAATTCCACTTCTCCATAAGCCTTTTCAAAAGACATATTTATTTATTTATTTGAAAGGTGGAGTTACAGAGGGAAAGGGAGAGACAAAGAGAGACGGAGAGAGAGAGACACAGAGAGAAATTGATCATCCATCTTCTGGTTCACTCCCCAAATGGCTGCAATGGCTAGGACTGGGCCAGGCCAGCCCAAGCAGAAGTCAAGAGCCTAGAACTTCATCCGTGGGTCTCCCACATGGGTGCAGGGACCCATGCACTTGGGCCATCTTCCACTGCCTTCCCAGGTGCATTAGCAGGGAGCTGGATCAGAAGTGAAGCAGCCAGGACTCAAAACAGCACTACAGTATGGGATGTGGGGATTGCAAGCTTCAGCTTAACCTACTGTGCCACAACGCCAGCCCCACTCCAAAAGCTTCCTAAGGTATCCTCATTTAAGGGTTGTTAAGTAAGTAATGACATAAAATAGAGGCCCAAAATCAGCACTACCAGCCCCACAAAGCCATACCATAACAGGATCCGAAGGACCAAGTACCAGCACTATATCAAGACAAAGCTTCAAAATCTTTTCAACTCTAAGAAGCCAAGCATAGTTACCATCAAATTGTTTTCTGCACCAAGAGTTAAATTCAACACCTCTGCTGCTTGCTGATCACTGAACACCACAGAATCTCAATAATCATGTTCTTAAAAAGCTCCAACTTTGGGATACAATACTGCAGACGCGGAAAGGAGAATACCACCACCACAATGCAGTCTATATTTCAGCCTAATGGAACCTGCCACATAGAAAAATGCTCGAGGTAGCTGCATAATAGGAGCATTTTTCTACGAATGCCAACTTTTAGATTTTACAACTTACAAGGCCGCTGTACCAGTTGGTAGTTAATTGGAT